GTAGTATATTCTGTGAAGCGCTTTGAGACGTCTTGAAAACGTGCTAAGGTGCTATATCAAATGCAAGGATTATTATTGTTGCTATTGCAGAAAAGGGAATTTTTCTCTCTTATCCGTCTATGCCCCCAAATACAAATTGGCCATTCACTTCACAGCTGTTTGCAGGACATAAAGCTGTAACAAACAAGGGAAACAGAGTTACAGTGCACACTACAAATAATAATTTGGTCACTCAATCCACAACTGTTTGTGGGACACCGCTGTACACAATTGGCTGCCACATTTTGCCCACAAAATAATAGTCAATTCACTTTACAATATATTCTGTGAAGCACTTTGAGACATCTCGAAGACGTGATAAGACGCTATATCAAATATAAGGATTATTATTACATTTTTATGCACCTTTCTGAATCGTATTTTCTCAAGACTGAAGAACACTACTTTACCTAATCATTGTTCAAAACTCATTGCTGTAACACTGCTGCATTACGAGGTGCGATCTGCACAGATTACTGGAAGTGCACTTTGATTGACCTCTGGGGATCTGATTTAACGATATAGCGCAGCATCCTGTTTGCCTTGCTTATTTCCGTTTCACACTGCTTTGACATAGTGAGGCCCCCAGGCTCTGGTGATAATAATATTAATAATAATAATCCTTGCATTTGATATAGCACCTCATCACGTCTTCAAGACGTATCAGCCCGATTTGTTGATAGGATTTGGAGGAGATGGGGTTGATTATCCCGCAAGCCATAATCTTATGGGTTGGGTGGTCTTAGATCGACAAGCATCAGGAAACTTACCACTGTTTTCATAGATTGAACGCCACAAACACTCAAAATACACATGCTCGGGTTCCCAAGCCTTGGCTCTTGCGATTCTGATTCTAATTTCTGTGGGTTTAGGTAAACTCTCTGGGGAGAGAATACACTCAGACAAATGGAAACCTTACATATCTGGAGCTCTTGATAATTTTTAAAAATTTGTCTGTGAATTACCAGGAAAATAAATTTGAATTTGATTTTAAACCTAAAGTTAGATTGTGAGAATAAATTCCTTTACAAGTTTATGCTTGTGGGTGTCGTTTGTGGGGTGGGGCGGCGGGGGCTAGACCTCTAGCCTTTTGAAAGTTGAAGTAGCAAAGATTTATTTTGTCATGTGACAAGAATTGCTACTTTCTTCAGAAAAAGTTTTTCACTTATTTCCACAGTACACGGAAAATGGATTAATTTCTGGAATAAGATATTGTAGCGTAATCTAGAAAACACACGTTTTAAGTGTCCTGCCTTGGAAAATGAGTTAAATCATTTCATTGTGTAGCTGGATAATGAAGGTTTTAATACTGAACTGAGCTGCATTAAAGCTTGCATGCTTTAACTCGACTATGCTGTAATTAAATATTTTGCTTTCCTAATATTTGCCCATGTGAATTGCTTTGGAGATTTTTAGGTAATACCATTACATAGTATACTGTAGCCTGGGATTCTATGTGTAATGTCTTTTTATGAAATATTAAGTAAGCTGATGGTTTTAATTATCATCCCTCACTGTATTAAAAGTCTTCATTATCCTTGGGGAATAGATTGCTGTTGGTTTAAGAAATGAAAGTTATTAGTTTTCCAGTGAATTTGAACAGAAATTAGAATTCTTCATGCACATTTCATTACTTTTTTTCATTCTCTGTTCTTGGTCTGAAATGTGAAAATGTTCTGTGTTGAGCTTAATGAATAGTGTAGTTGGAGAAGATTCATAATAATAATGATGATGATAATTATGCTAGGGGCTAGCAAGATTAGTACAGGGCTTTGTGTTACAAGTAAGTTTTGGTTGAGTGACTGCATTAGATTAAAAACGGCATTGCCCATGAATGCAGTATTTGTCCCAGAGGCAGAGGACAAAAGAGTGGCAGAATAAGCATCGTGATAATTTTTTGGTGAGCCAAGCATTTTGCTGCCTGATATAAAAAGTTGATTGGTGTAGAATTTATATGACCTTTGTGTGTTGGTTTAATACTCACTTTATTTGTTGCTGAAGTGGTATTTTCAGAGCAGGTCTCTTCTGCCTTTGTGGAAAATAAATGTGTTCATTTTTTTCTGTTAAAAATTATTAGCATAAAATAGTTCCGTTTAAAATATCCGTCACAGTTCATCAACAGAACAGAGCTCAAAAGTAGAAGCATTGACTGTTGTATCAATGCATGCATCTCTACAAGTATATCTGTATTTTAATGGGGGTGGTAGAGAAGGCATGTATTTCGATAGAGGAGAGAAGCCCTGACATGGATGGGAAATGGGAAGTGATTGAATCATAATTCAAAATAGTGGTTTACCAGTTGCTTGATGTTTCCAGCAGCTAATGTCATATCATGATGATGTGTCTCACACATGTCATGGTTAAACCATGATAAAAACTCTGGGACATGCTTGAATGATCATAGTCTAAGAAGCATAGAAAATCTTCCGCAATTTACCATCTGAATTAATTTAATAAACTGTTATTCATTGACTGCTTCTACATACATATGACAATACTAAAACAGAAATTCATATAAAATGAACTGATAGCTGTCCTTTCTCTTTGCTGGGTGGGCATTTACTTCCCTCTGAATGTTTTGAATAAACTGGATGTTAGTAACTGACAAACTAATCCAATCTGTTGATGTTACCCTAAGTCCTTGGTTTGATAATTGTTGTCATTCACTGACGGCATAGAAATGTAGAAATCTACAGTGCAGGAGGAGGCCGCTTGGACCATCAAGTTTGCTCCGGCTCACAGAACAAATAAATAACTTCACTCCCACTGTCCTACCTTATCCCCATACCCCTTCAAGCCTCATTCCTTCATATGCCTGTCTATTTCCCTTGTGAAAGCTACAATGGTCTGCCTCTACCACCCTACTTGGCAGGTCATTCCACAACCAACATCTTTCTTGAGTAAAAGAAATTCCTCCTAAGCTCTTCTTTCGCTGTCCTTGTGACTCTTATAATACTGTCCCAAGTCACTGACTCACCTATCAATGGAAATAACTTCTCCCTATTTACCCAGACAAAACCCCTCATAATTATGTACACTTCTATTATGTCCTCTCTCAACCTTCTCTGTTCCAATTGAAACAGACCCAGCCTTCCAATGTCTCCTCATAACTGTATTCACTTTAGTTAATTCATTTTACAGCATATTCTGTGAAGTAATTTGAGATGTCTCAAAGACGTGATAAGGCTCTATATCAAATGCAAGGATTATTATTATTCCTTCATCCCAGATTAATTCAAACACCAGGAAAGTCTGAGTCATAAAATAGCAGATTATGATGAAGTGTTTAGCACAAGTGGAGGAATGGTAGCATAAACTCAGTGCTGCTGATGAACCAATTTGCTTTTGAAACAGTATCTCAATTAATCAAATGTTGTCAAAGGATCGAAAAGAATCCCAAAATTCTAAATGCTTTTGAGAGGTTAGATATTTTCCACTGATTAGTAATTTGAATACAAGGGGAATAAATTTAGGATTATCACTAGAAGAAATTATGGTAAGGTTAGAAGGAATGTTTTCATGTAAACGTGTGCTATGCCACAAAATGTAACCAATTGAGACAAAAATCATTTAAACGAGAATTGGGTAAGCGTTTGAATAATGACAATACAAGAGGATCTAGGGAGAAAGTAGGGGATTATGATTGAAGTATTTAGCACAAGTGGAGAAATGGTAGCATAAACTCAATGGGCTGAATGGTCTCTTATAATAATAATAATCCTTACATTTGATATAGCACCTTATCACATCTTTGAAACTTCTCAACAAATCTCTTAATTCTTAATTGAAGGTATTAATTCCTTCAAAATTGAGAATATGTTTTAGTTTCTAACCCAAATGAAGTGCAGCAGGTTAATAACCTCAAAATTGGCTGCACAAATAAAAAATTACCTTATATTTGGTTGAATTATGTTGTGCCTTAAAGGTACAGGATGTCGGTGCTGGTGAATGGAAGCAATCACCCTTTTAAGTATCTGGTGCTCTTGTGTATAACATGGCTGATTAGTGGCCTGGCAAGATATTATACTTTCCCCAAACCTAGCTTTGCAAGAGCATCTCTTTACTCTAAAATGTGAAGTTTTCCCTTTCTATAATATTTCCCACTGAGTGTGCAGGAAATCATTAATCTCAAACCTTCTGTAACTATCCTGTAACACATTATGTTGATACAACAACTTGGAGTTATATAGCGCCCTCCACGCCGGACGGCGTCTCAGAGAACTTTACAGTTTAGGATCCCGGGATACTTTAGCGTGTAACACCTGAAGAAATGTAAATCATTCTAATTGTATTTAAGAAGCCTGTTGGAAGCATAATGAATGGTGGAATATTCAGTTGGGTATCTATCTGAACTGTTCTTGTGTTTCTGTATGTGAGTGGCCACCATATTAAAAATAAATTACACTTAGTCCCTGGTGTTAAGTTAAAATCAATACTATTTCACTTTCTTTACAAGATCTGAAATCCAGTTTGAAACATTTTGCATTTGATTTTTAATCAAATCGACGAGCTCCAGCTCCTCTTTCTCTGCCACAAGTTGATGCTGAGCTTCAAATTGAAATCATTAAGAAAAGGGTTTTTGAAGATCTTATGGGACAGGACAGTGAACAATTTGGTTTTATTGGCGAACCTCTGCTCTCTGTACTAGTACTAGTACTTCAGTATTTTTACTGAACAGTGTGAGGCAGAGATTATGCAATTTCTATTCACATTTCCTTGGCAAAACATCAGACACCAACTACTAGCATCTTGGTTGATAAAATAAAGGTTACTGAGAAATTCTTTGCTTTTTAAAATGTGTCACCAAGATACCTTTGGCCAAATTTAAAGATAAAGATATAGTAACTAGTCTGCGAATATTATTTAAATTTTGTCTTGTTTTATTCATTGTAAAATACTATATTTTCTGCCCCTTTTGGAATGTTTTTTTCAATGACTCTGTGGTCCTCTTTCTGTTGCAGAGATTAGCAGAGTGCGGAAAGACATGTACAACGACACATTAAATGGCAGCACAGAGAAGAAGAGTGCAGAGTTACCAGATGGCGTGGGGCCTATTGTACAGTTACAAGAGAAACTTTATGTGCCTGTTAAAGAATATCCAGATGTAAGTACATGGTTCATCTGCAAATTCAACAAAATTATTACTGGGAAGGATTCTTTGGAGCTATCGTCCCTAGCCCAGAAGACTATAATTTCTGATGTATTCATAGTAATCACCAGAATACACCTATTAATTAAATGGATTTTACATGTTCTGTTTGACGCCCACTGAAATCAGAGACAAACTACGAATCAATGACCCAATGTTGTGGCATATAATCTTGTATAATCTTGTAAGAGATGATGAGTCATCTGTGGAGTCCTGTAGCTCAGTGGTTAGACCACTCACTTTGCAAGCGAGTGACCTGAGTTCAATTCCAGGCAGGGCGAAACCTTGGGCAAGTTTCCTTACTCCACACGCCTAAACAATAATAAATTGGTCATTTTCAATCTACGACTGTTTGTGGGACATTGCTGTGCGCAATTGGCTGCCGCGTTCGCCCACAAATATACAGTCAATTCACTTTACAGTGTGTTCTGTGAAGCGCTTTGGGAAGTCCTCCCAATGTGAAAAGCGCTATATCAAATGCAAGGATTATTTTATTTATTATTATTATGAAGTGATTTTTCCAAATTTTAACTCCATTATACTGCAAGTCTAATGTATTGTTGCTCACCATGTCCAAACAGTTTGAGGTGGCAATAAACAGAAGCAAGGAGGATGTTGGACTGTATTGGCAAATTAGTTTAGTGCAAATCATGCGTCATTCTTCTCGTGGTAGAACTCTCATCTCTGAATAAGGTTCAAGCCCCACATTGTGGATTGGAATCGCACAGTCTATGATGACCTGTGGGGTGGGGTGTTGCATTGTCAGAGGTGTCATCCTTTGGATGAGAAGTTGAACTGAGGTTCCGTCTGTCTGTTCAGGTGGATGTTAAAGATCCCATGACGCTATTCGAAAGAGAAAGGAATTTCTCCCAGTGTCCTGGTCAATAAATCCTCAAAATAAAATTAATCACTCACTCCATGGCTGTTTGCCGGACATTGCTGAGTGCAAATTGGCTGCCATGTTTCCCCCCATAAAATACACTCACAGTCAATCCACTTTACAGCATATCCTGTGAAGTGCTTAGAGATGTCTTGACAATGTGATAATCAAATGAAAGGATTACTATTATTATAAATTCCCCAGAACTGAGACTGTATTTTTCTGGTTGCATGTGACATGGAGGGATCATGCATGCAATTGAGGCAGTTTAAGGAGAGCAATGAGGATAGACCCTTGTGTTATAGGAATGACTTAGGAAAACAACTTGATAAGCTCTGGTACTTCAATATCAGGAGGAACCTTACAGAGGCATACAAGATGCTTCATAGGGTAGAGAAAACAAACCCACAGTAATACTTTCAAATACTACAAGATGGTAGGACAAGATTGCACAGGTAAGGTTTATGAAGGGCAAATTTTGGACAGACATCAGGTAGTGCATATACAGAAAGTATCAGCTAGAACAGGTTATCAGGAAGTATGATTGCTCCCAACCCCGGGAGAAAATCCCTTGCTTTTGCAGTGTGCAGTGCTAATGCAGGGGATGTTATACAGGAGTTATCCTGTACGTGGTTAATGTAATAAGCAGACCAAACTTGCTGATTCAGTGGAGTGCCCTTCTGCGATTGGAATTGAAGGCTATTGTTGAGCCTGGGTTTTGCTATTCTAAGTTGTCTTTGGCAGTGGTTTGGTTGAGTGGTTATTCAAAATGAATAATTCTCAAAAGCTTTTGCTCAACTCAATCCCAAATTATCACTAGAACAGTATTTTTCAAAAAGGCTTGTCCCTGGTTAAATAAAAAATGGAAATAGCCATTTAATATAATGGAAAAAAACTATTTTGCATAATGTTTAGGGAACTGGATATACAGCAATTTAAGCTTGAGTTTGATTCATATCTTCCAACAGATGAAAATTTACAAATTTAGATGAAGGACAATTTAAAGCAAACAAGGGGCAATTTAAAAAAAATGAAAATTGTGGTTTTGTTTTGCGTTAGATAGTGATTGCTGGGATGATCTGTTGTATATTAAAAACTAGGTTAGCATTCCATTTGGCAACGACAGTGGTAAAAGCATTCATTTATAAATCCACTATTCCCGACTAATGGTAATAAACATTCCGGCCTATTTTGTGCTTGTTAATGAGCTGCAAACAGATTAAAGTACTTGAATGTGCTTTGCACTTTAATCAGTGCTCCTCTCTAGTCTACATATATATAATAACTAGGCTGTTTATTATAACCGTAAAACTAACTCATGCAGTGCAGAATATGCAGACCCATGAAGTGGTTACAACAGACTTGAGTTGTATTAAAATTTATTGGAGAAGGATTAAAATATCTAGTGATAATTCAGCTTCTTTTGTTTAGAGAATATTGTTACTGACTTTTCTGTTTATCATTTATGTAATAATTGTTATCTGTGAATATAAATAGTTATTTATTATTCGCTATTAAGTATTCTTTATTCGCTTTTCTGATGAGCTTGTGGATGAAAATATTTAATATCAAACACTGGAAGAACGCAGGTTTGAATCTTAGTCTGTTGATCTCATCTAAGGCAGCAGTTTGGAGAATTACAACCTGTTTCAATGCGCCTTGATTGAGAGGGGAAAATGAGCCAGGATTCCTGCTCGTGCCTGGTCTCTATTCAAGAGATTTCCATTAGACAACCTTGTTTATGGGTGTCGAACGAGGAGAGGATCAGACTTGGCTGTGACGCCCCATGAGTAGCCTGCCAACAATTAGGGATCACAAATTAATAAGGCTACTTGGGCAATGAACCTGTGAGATTTAGTCGATAAGAGATTGGTAAAAGGAGTCAATGCCTTCAGAAGAAGACATTGAGAGTGGGAGAACAATTGGTAAATAAAACCGTTGAAGCAATTCTGTCTTTGTATTTTACTATATTCTGACTAATATTGAATTATTGGTGGCATCAGTTGATGGCGAATGATTAATCCATGGTTAAAATAAAATTGTATTTCTAAAATCCCGTTGCAGCCTCTTACCCCAGTATGCATTTGTATGCTCACTGACGTTTTCTTTCCAGACAAAACAATTAAGTTCTCACAGCTGGAATCCAAGGTTGTCTCTTAAGATAATAGTTTTTAAACAGTCTTGTTCCAATCAAATGGAATACAATTTGTTAAAATGGTTATTTTGGAACAAATTAGTCGTTTATGCTTTCAGCAGCTGCATCCATTTAATTCAATGGCTTCCAGAGGGGTTTATTTCTAGAAAAAGCATTTTCTGTGGAGACTTTCTTATCACCTTTTTTTGCGTTTTGTGCTCAAACCAGTGTTGGTATAGACTGCATGAGTTCCAAGACCAGATGTGGGGCTTCAACCCACAGCCTTCTGACTCAGAGGCAAGAGTGCTACCAACTGAGCCAGAATTACACGTGTATTGTGAAATATAAAGAATCACTGGGCCTAATAAGTAATTAATTGGCTTTTTAAAAATTTCAGGGAGCATAATGGTCATCAGTGGGGCCTACAGTTCCTCATATTAACTTAACTGCAGATAACCCCTGGCAATTACTGGCAATCTGTTTACAATGGTGAGGAGTCTTAGAAAGTTAAGCAAATTGTTCTGAGACTATATACAATTTGGGGGATGTATGGGCACCACATGATTACATTTGTTATTTATGTTATTTAGGTACTAAGAAGCCATCTTTGCTTGTTAAATACCAGTGAGAAAGTTTGCATGTTGTTGTGATACAATTTTCTTTAAAAACAAGAGCCTTGTATAAACGTGTGTAAATGGAACTGATGGTGTTCCAGCAACCACATAACCTGGAGCACAGTTCTCTGCCTCCTCTAACACCAAAAAACACAAAAAATCTGTATGGCAGCAGTACCTGGACAAATCTGTAAAAACATTTTTGCTGTCTCAAGTACACAAGATAAAAGGGCTATCTGCAGTTTACTACATGGGAGTAACAATGATTAACTCAATGTTTTACTACCTCGGGGGGGGGGGGGGGGGGGGGGTATTCTTTATAACAAAAAATCCATATTTTATTTTAAGCAATGTTTTCTGGTCTGAACTTTCCTCCCACTTCAAGCCTCTATAATTAGGCATGATTTTTTAAAAAAAAATTCCACTTACTTTGCAAGACTGACCGACTTGCAAAACTGTGAATGAAAGCAAAGAACAGCTCCCTGTGTACATCCTAAAAAGCAACACATTCAGAATCCTGCGATGTTTTGTCTTTGAGTCTACTGGAACCTCTGCAGCTGGCTTAATATTGAAAATAGTCTGATCACGTTTCTCACTTATATGGAAAATTTGCCTGGAGTTATAACCTTGTGTCTGAAAACAAGCTAACTAGGTGCACAAAAAGATCCATAAACTCTTACTGTTTGGATGATTTGGGTAAGATAAGGGTAGTGACCATCTCTGCTGTCAACAGCACAATTTCAGTTAGCTTATATTATTGTCTGCAGTCTGCTGAGGTAGTAGTGCAAGTTAAATGGGCATAAAAATCCCTTTCAAAGCGTTTAGGCATATTAAATTGTGTTATTTATGGGTCACTTCATCTGTAGACCTTCACCCCAGATAATTTGGTCGATCCTTTTTGGTGGCTTGTGAACATGTTTTATATGGAAATCCAATAAAGTGTTATTTATAATACCAACTACGTTATGAATTGAAGACCAAATTTAACCTCTGGGTTCAGACACTGAACATAACTTTTATCTTGTTGCTGTGATGTAATCTGAGCCTTTCAATTAGATTACTGTCATTGAGGCATCTCCAGTGTCCTCTGTGCATAATTTGCCAAGTACTTCCATTGCTGCTTTAGAAGGTGCTTTTTTGAAATTGTTGGTAATATCCCCAAATGTAATATTTTGTAAACATTTTAATCTCCATTTTTGAAGGTAAATCAAGGATGGATACAATTTTTTTTAAAATCCATCCTATTAAAAATAAAGGCCAGATGTTAGCATTGAATTTCAGTTCTCTGTGTTCCTGAGTTGAATGTAAGACAGCCAAAAGTTTCTGT